CACCACTGTCCCCTTCCTCTGTGACCTTTTGACCCTCTGGTTCCAACAACACCTTTGTAGGTGACTGTTTGCCCAATACTCAACAGCAGACAGCTGCTCAAGATACCGGGACTCATATCTCTATGCACTGTACACACATGGCATAAACGTTATTTTTAGAGTTTACTTTTCCTATCTGTAAAAACCACATCACCCTGTATTCCCATGTATGCGGTACATGTTCATCCTTGAGTTCTTTGCTGTAAGTTTGCCCGTCCTGACATTCTAGGAGGGCTGGAACCCAGGCGGCTTCCGTTAGATGAGTGAGAGAGTAAATCGTGAAGATGGAGCACAGCTAAAAAGAGCTCAAAACCAAAGCAGAGCGGTCTTCTAGAATCAGAAGCTGCTATTGCCCTTTTGTGGCCCTGCTGGGCCTGGCCTGGGGGCCGTGGAGGAACGATGAAGTGTCCATGGAAAGACAATTCAAAACAGAAGGTTGCTTTGGATTTCTTGTTCCAAAACCAGAGTCAGGAATTGTGAGGGAAGCAGACTGAAATGCGTTCTTTTGTAAGGCATAGATTTTTTAGCAGATGGGAGAGTGGATTCCATGAAAATGACAGAACCTCGGGAGCTTGGCATTATTTATGTTCCCCTTTAAAACTTGGCTAGAGACATATTTCATTTATCCAAGCCATTCTAAAACATTGTATCAAAGGAAATTTAATTTAAAATTTAGAGTTCCACATAGCATGCAGGAAATACTCCCCACTTCCCCCTCTAAAATACGCCATGAGGTTTTTTTATGCATATTTGTTATGCTAAACTGACTACCCAAAGACTTTCTTCATAAGTAAAGAAGTTATTCTATATTTGCTTCAAGAAGCGTGCTTCTTATCCTCAAGTGCCTGCCACCTAAGACACACAGGCAATTGTAGCAATTTTTAAATCTTTGATAGTCTAGAAAACTCCCTGTTTAATCTCTTTTCCGTGCTTAGCTCTTAAGTATATTGGAGGGTTTTGGGAATGGCTACTTGCATGATAATTGCTTATTGACGAGCAGGTTTTTCAGAAGCGAAATCTGCTCACAGCCAGAGAAACCGATGGCCTTGCACCCTCCATTACGACACGCCTGCCTTCTCTGGACCACTTTTCCAGGGGTGGAGAGAGGCTCTGCACTGCCAGACCAGCTCTCTAGCTAGTCCGACCTGTGACTACTCAGGTTGGCCCTTGGGTGGACCTAAGGCATGGAGAGGAATTGATCAGAGGCTTTCCATAATTACATATTAAGCAGTGTCCTCCTGAAACCAGGAACTTTGTCTCAACTCAACTCAAAAAAGCTAGGGAAAGTCAGCAAGAGTAGCAGGAAGTGCTATGTGGGCAACTCTTGAACAGAAGTAAAAGGCAAGGTAGTCTTTCGGGAGCAAGGTTTGGATCTTGCCACTGTGGTTATTAGCTGTGAGACACTGGGCAAGCCATTCAGTTCTCTGGGCTCTTGTTTCTTTGCCTACAAATTAGTATCAGGGATATCTGCATTAGGCCATGCCATGGACTTAAATGAATATGCAGCATCAGGACTTTATGAATAAGCCTACGGGTGAACATAGAGGTTAACTCAAGGTATGCAAAACATATGGACATATTGTTGTGCCTTCGAGAGCCATCATGGTATTTTACAAGAACACAATATAGGATTTCTTTTGGATTCCAGGGCTCTGGTGGCAAGGTTTTAGCCTAATACAGATGTAGAGATGAGATGTCAAGTGAGCAAAGAGACGGGTGAGATCACTATCTTTACGACTCCTCCGGAATGTGTTTTTCAGACATGTTAGACAAATGCACGACTGTCGTAACAGACTCCCATTCCCAAATGACTTCTCATCTCCCATCGCCTCAATGCCCTTTTCTCCCCTATATTTTAAACTAAATGACAAGAGTCTATGCAAACTTTCCCTTTCTAAACATTTGGTGCATTCCTGCCAAGGCTCCCTTTTCTACAAAGTGATTTAGTACTCTAACCTTGCCCCATGCTCTCTTCACGTGTGTGTTTAGTCTCTGCTGTAGAACTTGGTCTCTCATATTTCATCATGCGGGGGACAGAGGATGGTTACGGAGTTCAGGTGTGGGAGAGGAAGAACAGTGTCCTGCTTGCTTGAGGTTTGTCTTCCGGAATTCTCCTATCAATGTCCTGGCCCCACTAGTTTCAAGGCCATTCTGTGAGGAACAATTGTGCACATCTCCTCCGCTGTTTCCCTGACAAATGTGGCCTTGTTCTTGGCGGTGTCTTTAGTTTTACAAGCTGAAATATTCTAGGAACAGGGGTGAGTGAGTGTGGTCCCACATGGGGCATCAGACTTCCTTTGGGAGAAAGACGTCCATGGAGAATTGGTTAATGATGGGATCTTCTTTGGTTAAAACACTAGCAGCTCATTTTCTCTCAAAGCTTAAGGGGCCCCTATGCAGAAGTGGGCAAGACCTCTTATGTGATTAATGGTTCTCATTCTGTGCTTATTGCTAAGAAAAACGCCTTCTGGTGGTTGTCCTTATTGTTTCAGAGTTAGAAAGCATGAAAAGATATTTTCATGTTGCTTTTCATGCAAAGCATTAAAAAAAACTATTAAGGATTTCCTAAAGGTACTGTCCCTATAGCTGTGGGAATGATAATAATGTTCCCATCCCTCTGGCCAGAGGGTAGGGGTTTACCTCCTCCTCTGTCTTTGGACCCAATGCTACCCTGACCACCAGTGTTCTCTCTAAATAGCTTATAGGCTGGCAGTCTTGGGTGGAAGCATCAGGGAAGACATCTGACGGTAGGAGGCAGAGGAAAAGAGAGGCTCCTCTCAGAGGAAGAAAATACTGCCGCCTGGTACCTCCTAGCAGAGATAGCATCCGTCGCACTTACGCTGCTCACTAAGAGCCAGAAGGATGGTGTAGTTCAGTGATGTCAAGTCAAGCAATCTGGCAAGAGAGTGGGCCCCTTTGTGGAGATATCATTGCAATGATAGCAAAGTAAAGCTATTTTGGCACATGAATCAGTCCTGAGAATGAAAGTGGGGGAATGAACACCTGCTGAGAACGTATTTGCCCAGTTACAATGTCGCGGAGGTGCGGAATGGTACCATCTCAGTAAATGGACATTTAAGCATGGGTTTCACGGATAAAAGGTCAAGGTCATGCACTAAAACCAGTCAGCCCCCTCATCTGTGAGAACTGAGGCTGTTTGTCTCAGGGGCAACACACTTACAAAACTTAGTTACATAAGATCTAAGCTTGAGCTCCCAGGACATTCTACTTGCTATTCACTAGAACCTTAGGCTTTAGGTAATTGTTAAGTAAATGCTTACGACAAGTATACAATTTATGATTGGAATTATAAATTGAAAGTTGTAACTTCAATCCCTCCTTCTGTACCTTTAAGTCAACATTTTTAGGCAAATTTAACCAGTTACTTAACAATCATGAATACTTCTTCTCAATACTTACCCTAAGTATGTTTGTATAAATGTGAACACTGATATCTATCATTGAAACACATTAATGGGTCTGGAGAGATGGCTCAGGAGCCATGACTGCCCATCTAAAGGACCCAGATTCAATTCTCAGCACCCTCGTGGCAGCTCACAACTGTGTATCTCCAGTTCCAGGGGATTCACACCCTCATACAGACATACATGCACACAAAACACCAACGCACATAAAATGAAAGTAAATAAACCATTAAAAGGAAAAGAACCACACTATTGTTATCTTTTAATACACTTAAAAAAACACAACTTAAATAGTAAATAATGGGCTTGACAGATGGGTCAGTTGTTAGGTCTTTCTGATCTTCCAAAAGACCCAAATTCAGTTCCCACGTTGGGCAGCTTGCAACTGCCTGTAACTCTAGCTCCTAAGGATCTGATGCCTTCTTCCGACTTCTGTGAGCATTCTCTCTCTCTCTCTCTCTCTCTCTCTCTCTCTCTCTCTCTCTCTCTCTCTCTCGTCTCTCTCTCTCTCTCTCTCTCACACACACACACACACACACACACACACACAAAAGAAAATAATTCTCAAGAAAACAGGAAAGAAAGTATTCTGATGAACATGATTAGATTACACAGCAATTAGCTTTCAGTGCTGTGATAGAATAGGAAGGATAAGGAGAGGAAGTGGAGAGACTGCTATGAGCTCCCATGTTATTGTAGCTGCGTTAGTCTTTTGAGGGTTTCTTTCCCATTTTTCTCCAGCCCAACAAACCCTGAGACACGTCCCATTAGTTTGCACCAGTGGGAGCCCTTAAAAGCCATATGTCCCCTTTCACCTGGACTAACACTGGACTTTCCCTTAAGTAGACATTGAGTATGTCTTGAAAATGAGGAGAAGGGCTATTTGTAACATGTCATGAGGTGTCTGGGGGGCAAGGAAGAGGGAGATGGAATACAAGAATAAGGAGAACTCCACAAAAATGATGTTTTCAACTTTATTAAATGAGATGAAATGAAGTAGCTGAGACATGTTATAAGAACATTAGCTTCTAGAGCCCAGTGTTCGCCTGAAATGCAAATTGTAGACTGGCAAGTGCTTGTAATAAAAACAAATGGTATATAAAAGACATCCAGAAGACTCCATAAAACACATATAAAATAGTAACTCTTCACCAAGAATTCAGTGGTGGCCTGTGTACATGACACCACAGTGCTTGGACTTAGGTAGACATATTTTATCCTGATGGAAATCTCTTCATGTAATTCTCTACACACACAAACACACACTACCCACACATGTAGGTTCCCTAACTAATAATAACTGACAGAAGAAATTAATTGCACCTCAAGCTTTTAGGAAGCTGGTGTTCCTTGGCCCCATGAAAGCAATCTGGGGTAGAACATGGGTGATCAGATGTTCACTGACAAATTCTCACAGTAGGTTTTTCTGGGAGGGATGAGGAAAAGTGGGTGTAAAAGGGAACGCTGCTCCCCTTGTCTTCCACTGGAGAATCCATTGGACTGACTTCCTGAAAATCTTCTGTTTGCCTTCCCCAGGAATGGCGGCCCTAGACAGTAAGGCATCGGGAAAGATGGGCATGCGAGCTGTAGTCTATTACATGACCACCACCATCATTGCTGTGATGATTGGCATAATCATTGTCATCATCATCCATCCCGGAAAGGGCACAAAGGAAAACATGTACAGAGAAGGTAAAATTGTGCAAGTGACTGCTGCCGATGCCTTTCTGGATTTAATAAGGTATGTCCTTGGAACCCGTCCCTGGGGTATATATAAGTCAATCAAACTCTCAAAGACGTATCTGATGGAACCAGCCCTGTCAGGCTTGAGAAAGGCATCACATCTCTCCATCCTTCTAACAGAAGTTGATATTGAGGATCTAGCTTCTGATATGTCATAGCAGATGTGAGATGAACAAGAAGCAGATGAACTGGGATTCCAAAATATCTCACTCCTCTCTAAGTTGTCTCCACTGCGCAGTTACCCTGGACTAACTGGATAACTCTTAATGTTCTTTTCCCAAGTCTGCTCTGTAAGGTAGATTTTTAGCAAAGGATTCCCAATTTAAAATTAGCAGTCTGTATCGTTGTTCACTGCAAGCAGCAAGCGCGGCTCAGCAGGGACTTGCGTGGTCATCTGACCATTGCTGACTAATGCTCCCTCTTTTGTATTATTCGTGAAGAAAGTTTTGGCAGATCACTAATAAAAATTCAGGGGATGCTCTTCAGTAGTGTTTCATAAACAAACTAGGTACTGATTACAATCGAGTCCTATCATTTGAAGTGGAACTGAAGATCATAAAAGCAAGCCAAAGTTTGAGTCCTTTTCCTTCTTTCCCTCTACACTCCAGCCCTTGGATCAGTCAGATCCACTACATATTCGAAAGGAACTCTGAAAGTCAGCGCGGCGAAGCAAACTGTAATCTCAGCCCTGGGTGACTGTGACAGGAGAATCATGAGTTTGAGGCCTGCCTCACCTAGGCTACATAGCAAGACCCTGTCTCTAAACGGATTCTGGGAGGCCCCAACATATAATGAGATAAGATGTTTTGTCACCACCCCTGACTGTTAGAGAAAAAGAACTGTTAGCAGAGCCCAGAAAGAGCTGCCATCATAGGAAATGGGCCTCAGAGTAGGCGCTCTAACTAGAACGAGATGGAGGGAGCTTCAGTCAAACTGAACCAGGGAATATGTAGACAGACTTTTTTTTCTCTTATTTCCCTGTAAGCTGTCAGCAAATGCCACTAAACAAAACCAAAAGGAGTCAGAAAGCAAGCAAATCATTTTCTGTGTTCCCTATGGGATAGGCCCTAGGGCTCAGCACGGAATACGGGATGGATCTAACAGCGCAAATGGTGGATGTCCTACCACAGGCCTCTAGATTCCTGTCTGCTTTGCGTTCTCCCACTGTGCAGCACCAGCCTTTCTGGTCAAAACTTAACCTCTTCTTCCTCTTTCCATCATACCTGCAAAGAACTAAAGTTGCCTTGCTAGCTAGCTACTCCCAAGGGTTCCCCATTGCTCCTCTGAAAGAAGCTTCTTCAAGGAACTCATTTCAAGAGTGTGTCAAGAAATGTTTGGAGAATAGGGTCTCCTTTGTGGTACCTCTCCATTCCCACCAGGGACAACCTCATGTCATCCATCTGTTAGCCTCACCCAACCACAATAAGACCTTTTCTTGAAAGCCTTTTCATAGAGTAGATCCCAGTGCTCTAAAGGTAGCAACTGCTTTGTATTCCCTGCCCAGAGAGAGCAATAAGGAAGATACATGTGCATGGGGGGAGTTGGAGGTAGACAAGGAAAGGGGGAAATGATATAATTATATTATAATTTCAAGCAATTAAAAGGTATTACAAAAAGATCCCTGCATGTTGGTAACTGATAACTATGTCTTAATAAGTTTGTGGAACTAATTACAACTTTTACTGTTTTCATGAAGCAATGGTTAGTTTGGGTTGGGAATATTGTAATTGTCCTCCTTTGTAATTTTACCTTTGAAGAGTGAGATCTTATTATCCCCAGTTTAGCTGACCCATCAGAGCATCATCCTAAGTTTCTATCCTTTGCCCCAGGAAAAGGTGTGTGACTGACCTGCCCCCAACTTAGCTTGGGAATTTATCTTAGAAGCTCTTTGAATATACCCTTGCACCATAGAAAACAAAAACAAACAAACAAAAAACCCACAGAGCACAGATTGGAAGAAAAAGAAAGCAGGAGAATCCAGAAAGCAGCAAGAAAGAGACAAGCAATTATAGCACTAAAGTATGAGTTTGACAGCACACAGTCTCTAGAATCCCAAGTCCATGAGTCATGCTCCCTCCTCTCAGTCTTCCATCTTAGAGCCCTACTGACAGTGTAATCCACTCTCCTCCTTAATAGATGAATCATCGACGGAGACCTAAGTGGTTGCCATTGGTTTGGCCAGTGTCACAATCCTGACCAAGACTGTTTCTCCTCCTCAAACACGACCCTGACACAGTCTCTGAGGAAGTGACAAACTTTGCCACAGAGGCCTCAAGTTCAAATATTGGGTCAAGCTCTACATTGACTCCCAAAAAGCCTCAGACTCTCTAGGATGCTGACTCTCTCCCTGAAAGCCTGCAGAGAAAAAAAAACTCTGTGGTACCACTAATCATGTCTTTTGATTCCAATCTTTTGATCCCTAGACCCATAGCACATCCAGAGTCAGCCAACTACTGATGGAAAAAGAGTCTCTGGTCTCACTTATTCTTCCAAGCAGTGGGGTTTTAATAATCTAATGGCCAACTGAAAACTCCCATGAGCTGAGAGGAGGATGAGAGAAGGATATTTGGGTTGAACTGGTGCTTCCCTGGAAAATGTAAATTGCATGAACCACACAAAGGAATAGCCATGTATCCATTTCAAGTGACAGTATCTTTGTTCTTCCATTTGCTACTTGATTCAATTCAGTCTTTACCTTGGACACAGTGAAGCAGTATTTAAGGATCAAGTTACTATTGGAGAAGTTTTGCAAATGACCCGCTGTTTTCTTTGCAGGAACATGTTCCCTCCCAATCTGGTGGAAGCCTGCTTTAAACAGGTAAACGCTCTCCAGCTACCAAGCCACCTTTTAAATTCTTCTTCAGGGACTGGAAAGTGGTTCAGTGGTTACGAGAACTGTCTTCTCTTTCAGAGGATCCAAGTTTTCTGTTTGCAGCACCTATGTCCAGTGACTCACAATCACCAGTAACTTCAGCTCCACTAGAGTCAACACCTCTAGCCTTTGCAGGCACCTGAATCACATGCTCATACCTACACACACACACACACACACACACACACACACACACACACACACACACACACAAATTAAAAATAATTAAACTTAAGTTCCTCTTGAACATACCATGCCAGTAGGACCCCTCTCTCTTGCATTTTCATTCTCTAAAGTATGAAATGTGTCTCTGGCCAACTATACAGATAGAAAGTGCTAGGATTACCTGGGAAACTTGGGTGACAATGGCCCTTTACTTGTATTAAAGGTGGCCTAGTTGCCAGGCACACTTATATTGCACACAAACAGCACATTTAGTTTAGGTTATTTTTAAGAGGGCTAATTGGGAGTCCCTCTCTTTCTTCCCCTCCTTGGGCTCCCACGCAAAAATGTCACCAAAGCAAGCAAATTCAAATATAAATAAATGCACTAACAACTTGCTTTAAAGTTAGACAGACTATTCTGGTTTCTGGGTTTGATTTAAAAATCACTGGTCTACTTATTAAGAGTCTTGGAGATTCTAGAGAAGAACCATATCAGAAAGGAATGGCATCATCATTTACGGAATGCTTGCTGTGTGCCAAGCACCAATGTAACATTTAGTCCTCACATGAACATGATGAGTAACACTGTCTTCGCTTCACCCGTGAGGCCACTCGTTTATGAGAATGGGGGATTATGTAATAAGCACAAGTTCTCACAAGTATCACAAGTAGAGAAGGACAGACCCAGAATTCAGACCCATGTCCTCCCTCCTCTGATTCCTAGAAAGCAACACTGAGTCTCCACCTGGAGGCCACGGTGAGGTTCAGCCCTTTGTGCCTCTTAGCAGTTCTTGGCTCTCTATATGGTGGATACCAATATCTTCTAGTATTTGGGAAATGTAGTTCTTTCTGGCCTTACTCCATTAGAAAAGCTTGGTTGCCAAAGCTATGAAAGGGGAAATATACTGTAGATTAAATGCTAATTCCCAGACACTCCTCTATGTAGTGTCAATTCACCTAACCTTTCTGCTTAGGACCTACGAATTAAAACCAAACCCTGACCTCATGGAGAACTGGGTTTTACACATGTAAGACACCATCTTTCCCTCCCTTAGACTACTTGTAAAAGCAACACACAAGTAGATTGCAAGATCAAAACACGCTCCCTTCTTAAGAAAAAAAAAAACACAGGAAGCCAATAGAGTGCAGGAGGATTACAAGTCCAAGGCTAGCCTGGGCTGCAGAGTGAGTTCAAGTGTATCCTGAGTGATTTAATGAGACATTGTCTCACACCATAAAGCAAAGAGTAATCAAGGTGGCTTAGCTGGTAAAGGCACTTGTCACCAAACCTGATGACTTGAATTCAATCCCTGGGACCCACATGTTGGAAGGAGAGAAATGGCCCTCCCAAATTGCTCTCTGACCTCCACATGTGCCCCTATCCCCACTAGACAAACGAATGTAACAAAAATTTAATTAAATAGTATGTATGTATGTATGTACGTACGTGTGTGTAACAGAAAGAGGACTATGGATTCGGTCTAGGTGTAGAATGCTTATAGAACACATGTAAGACCATGAGTTTAGTTCCCAGGACCACAAAAGTAAAAAATGCTCAGGCAGCCAAAAACCTAACTTCCTTTATTCAAGAACTACAGGAGCAATAAAGAGTAAATCCTTTTCAATTCAGCAAACGCACCCAGTCTGTTCATGAGCTGGCAATGGATGGCATCAAAACTGCTGGTTTCTACATCTGTTAGATGGGGAAAGTGCTGACATTTGGGGGCTTGCATTCAGTTTGGGTCCATTTGCAGGGCTGTGCAGGGGGAAGCAAATGTGTTGCCCTAAGGTCTGTTTGGCTTAGACTAGAACGCAAATAAAGTTTTTGAGGAGGCTCTAAACTGTGTCTAAAGGTGAAGAATAGGAGGTTTAGGACAGGATGAGCAGGTCTGAAAATGTACCCTGGGGAACCCACAGAATACACAAATGCCCGGGTGAAGAGACTGAGAGTTGACTGTAATAGAATTTTATGTGTTTTGAAAATAGCCGGCAATCCACAGCATTGACAACTGACCATGCCCTTGTTTGGAGACAGTGGTTTCCCAATAGACCAGAAAGTCTCCTGATCACAAAAATAGCCAAGTAGTTCATGTGTGGCCATGACTTCCTACCTAGATTCCAAACCCAGTCAACATTCACACACCATCACTCACTGCTGCTTTACCACCAATGCTATCAAGGCCAGGTCAGCAATTTCACTTTTCTGGAGATCATATAGGGATAGGCTTAACTGTGGAACTGTGGCTACTGCAATGTTCTCGGCACCTGCTGACTGGAACATCTAGCAGGAGCTATAGTGAAAGGCTTGGCTTAGGAGAAAAGTGACTTGGAGCAAGAAGGTTATCATCACCAGCTACTAAGCAGGGAGCTATTAAGAATAGGAACTTCTAACATCAGGAATGACTTGAAGACTGGTCATTTGAGGATTTCTTTTTCCTGTTCTCTGCAGTGTCTAACCAAGTCTATTCCTGAAGGGCATTGTCACTGAACACCATGAGTCCTCATCAATGTTGTACTTTACATTTTACAAAATGTCGCCACTTGTGGTGCTTAATTTGGCCATTGCCACAATCCTGTGAGGCAAAATCAGTAGTTATCCTGTTTCACAGCTGTGGGATATGTTATGCATGCATGGTCTCCATAGAGGACAGAAGGACTTGGGAATATTTGAGTTTGTGGCTCTTTGGAAATCTCATTATAGTCATTTTACTAAGATTTTAGAAGAACGCAGGTCATTGTGTATGTGAGTCTGACTTCTCTAGCCAGGTATTCCCTGCTCATTGTAATCTGTAATGTATTTGAGCTTGTGTGTACACATTGTGATCCATACGTATTTCACTGCGTGTGTGTGTGTCCATGTTGAGAACAGGTATCTGCCACAAATTGAATAGATAATACATAGGTAGGTAGATAGATAAATACCGCCTATAATGTTGTCCTTTGAATACAAGATAACACATTATAATAGAAAACTTGGTCAACAAGAAAGTATAAAAAGACAAATAAAAATCACTTGGTTCCTGTTGTGCTTCTTATTTTTAAGTTTAAAACCAGCTATGAAAAGAGGAGTTTCAAAGTGCCCATCGAGGCCAACGAAACACTCCTGGACGCTGTGATCAGCAATGTGTCAGAGGCCATGGAGACCCTTACCCGCATCCGGGAGGAGATGGTACCTGTTCCTGGCTCTGTGAATGGGGTCAATGCCCTAGGCCTAGTTGTCTTCTCCATGTGCTTCGGTTTTGTGATTGGAAACATGAAGGAACAGGGGCAAGCCCTGAGAGATTTCTTTGATTCCCTTAACGAAGCCATCATGAGATTGGTAGCAGTGATAATGTGGTACGTATTTCTATGATCTTCCTAGCTGGGTACAATTGTTTATTGCAATGGGTGTGTGTTCTGTTCTGCGAAAGATGTCACCAAGCCAGATGGACAGTTGCAGTGATCTTTTTCTGGAAACCACAGAAAGTTGGTGTATTTCTGGCACTGTCAAGGCCCTGAACCCAAAAGTACTTCCTGGTTTTGAAAAGGTTCAACTTCCTTACCCCATCCACCCACTTGACACGTGCCTAGTTATTCATTCACACAGTTATATTGAGTTTCTACCCTATGATAAGAATAGAGTACCAAGCATACTAGCTGCAGCAACAGAGAGAGCAGACAAGGGCACACTGGGTACTTTCAAGGAAGACGAACAGTGAACAAGCAAATAAATAGCATATTCCTGAGTCCTGAGTGTGGCGAAAAGAAGTGAAAGCGGGGAGAAGGCGGGCCATTTGCTTTGGATGGAACAGAGAGTTTTGGTGTGACTTTTTTTTCTCAGATAAAAATGACTTGGAACATCCAGTTGGACAAAAAGAGAATTCCCAGCAGGAGAAAAAGCAAACACGGGCCCTGGATCATTGGAAGAGGGACCAGGAATGGGTTTTCCTTTCTATTTGAACCCTGAGGAAGGAATCTATGTGGCAGAGCTGTAACAGCCTACAGGAGGGCTCACAGGAAGTATTATGGACTACTAAGCCACAACTTAGAACTTCCTTTAGCAAAATTCAGAGCAGGAGACAAAAGGAAGACTAAGTCCAAAGTGGGAGAGCACTGACCTTGGAAAGTAAACTATCCCCAGCAGGGAGAGGGTCCTGGCTTGGCGTAGGCCTTGTGTTGGAGTTACTTTTCTTTCATCCTTGATTTTTAATATCTAGGGTCCTTCTTGGCACCTGGGGCAGGAAGGCATCAATCGTTGCAAAAGCATTCACTTGCCAACATGATTAAAAATATCCTTTGTCTCTAATGCCCCCAAAGTCCATAGAAATCCACTTCTTAGGAGTTTGCACAAGACGAATATGAACTTGGCACAACGACAGATCAGAATGTGGTCCCCACAGGAGCCTTCACTTGGAAGGCTCCTTTGAAATCCTGGCCGGGCTGAAAGTGGACATTTATCTTCATATTATTAAAATGCCTCCACCTCTCACCCCTTTCATGAAAGGAGCCCATTCACGGCCACTGAATGAACCTCACATGTAGCTTTTCTAGCTATGCGTTCGCCTACACACTCCACATTGAATTATTACATTTCTGAGAGCAGGTACTTCTGCGATTTCCTGGCCTGCTTTTTTAAAGGGCCTTTGAAAGGAGCATTGTGTTTCTTGAGTTGCAGCAAGTCCTCCGCAGTTCCCATCAGACTCTTCTCCTTGAGAGTGATTGCCTTCGTCTTGGGCAGTGTGTTTCATTTTAGATTAGTGCACACATTATGCAAAGGGAGTTAAAAGTCGGCCTGTGAGCAAGTAGGGTTAGTCCAGCATGTATGAGTAGTCATGGGGCCATTTACCCATTCTTGTAGGGACTGTGATCCACAGTCTGTGGATAAGTACTTAATTCAAATGCCTATAACCTAACCAGCAGCCATACATCCACACACTTTATTAATTTTAATAGCTCTGGGTTTATTTTATGGTCTTCTATTTATGGTGAGTGGTAGTAGTATTTATTTTGCATAGTAGCATAAAATTTCCTGTGAAAGGAAATTTACTTAAGTATAAAAGGTGACTTGAAGACAGTCACTAAGTAATGTATTTTAAGTGGAGCAGAGCTATGGAAGAAAGCAATAAAAGTGGCCCTAGAGCAGTGGTTCTCAACCTTCCTAAAGCTATGACCCTTTGATACAGTTCCTCATGTTGTGGTGACCCCAACCATAAAATTCTTTTTGTTGCTACTCCATAACTATAGTTTGCTACTGTTATGAATTGTAATGTAAGTATCTGTGTTTTCTGATGGTCTTAGGTGACCTCTGTGAAAGGGTCGTTCAAGCCCCTAAAGGGAAAGTGACACACACACTGAGAAACCCTGCCCTAGACTAAGAAAGCTGACCCTGCCAGACAAGGCATAGCGTAGTATGGCATAGCATTCCTCCTGCTTTAGCTTGGGAAGCAGGTTGCAGTATGGAAAATGTTCTGAAAAGTGTGGATATTGGTATAGTGGTTTGTTCCAGGTACCTAGCTGGAGTCGAGAGGGAAAGGGAATTGCCGGCATCTGAAGACCCAAGCAGGGACCCAATCGTGTTTAGGAAAATGGAGATGAGGACCAAAACTTCTTCTCCTTTCTAAGGTCTAGGGCCAGTGGGCATTGGGTGGGGTGCTCTAAAGCAATTCAGAGTAATTTATAAATATCTGGAGGATTTTGAATTTTAAACAGAGAAGAATAACTTCTGTAGTTTCTACAGGACACCGGTTGGAAATTCCCCGTCTTTCCCTCTTTGATTCTTTTTTCTCCACAAGTTGGTAATTTACGTGCAATAACTTATAATATAATAACTCCAATTTGAGCATGTGCTGCTTTCCGTAGGTATGCCCCTCTGGGCATCCTCTTCTTGATCGCAGGGAAAATCGTTGAGATGGAAGACATGGGCGTGATTGGAGGACAGCTTGCCATGTACACAGTGACAGTCATTGTTGGCCTCCTCATTCATGCTGTCATCGTCCTGCCACTCCTCTACTTCCTGGTAACCCGGAAGAACCCCTGGGTTTTCATTGGAGGGTTGCTGCAAGCGCTCATCACAGCTCTGGGGACCTCCTCAAGGTATGTGCATGTATGGGGCTTACTCCTCTAAAAAAGTGTGTCTAAACTTTCACCTTGGACCTGAGCCTCTTGGGGTGGAGGTAAGTAGAGGCATTTTATTCTGGTTTAAATTTCTGGAACATTGAATTGACTTTGTTCACGTCTGATATTGATCATACCTCCTTGGGATCAAGGGAATCGCTATCTGTAAATCCTCTTTGGGGGGGCAAAGGGAAAGGGAGAGGCCTGTCTTGCCCACTGGCTTCCTATCTTCCATTGATGTCTGCTGAGAGAAAAGGAAGAAAATGATGTGGCTCAGGCATCCATGGTATGGGAATAACCACAAGGAAGTCCTCAGAGGAATCCACGCACAGAAGAGTGGCCAAGTGACCCTGTGGGGGCACCACACTACTCCTAACCCCCTACTTAGACAAGTGCTGACTTAGTCAGGATGTGAGAGAGGAAGGGACTATCTGTGCAAAAGACCAAAGGGAAAACACAGACCTACCGGGGACACTCCGTTGACATGCCCTGTTTTGCTGTCCTCAGCTCTGCCACCCTACCAATCACTTTCAAGTGCCTAGAAGAAAACAATGGTGTGGACAAACGTATCACCAGATTCGTGCTCCCCGTGGGGGCCACCATTAACATGGATGGGACCGCTCTCTATGAGGCTTTGGCTGCCATCTTCATCGCTCAAGTTAACAACTTTGACCTGAACTTTGGACAGATTATTACAATAAGGTACAAAGGAAGACTTCTACTCAACATTTTCCTCAGAATGGTTTTAACAGATGAGAAAATGAATGAGGTTTGGTGAAGAAATTGGCTAGGAAGCAGCTCATACATAAACAGGAGGTTGGAGTTGGAGGGAGTAGATGGGTTTAGATGGATGTGTTTTTCAGCTTTTTAACTTCAAGCATGAATATTCATTCTAATAATGCAGAAGTATATGATATGGGAAGGACAACTTCCCTGTTACAATATTAAATCTTTCTGTTAGGTAACCATTGTCCATGACTGACTCCCAAAGAACTTTTCCAATGCAAGGACACAGACAAACTTCTTTTTAGTAATTAGTCATACCACACATACCATGTACCCCTTAATTGGATTGCTCATCAATACAGAATTTACAGATATACCTGGCTCATAATTTAATGTCTACAAAATATACAGTACGAATAATTCTGTTTTAGGAACATTAAGTTATACTCTAATTTTGCAAACATAAAACTATATCTATGGGCAATTTGGAAGATGAAAATACACTTGGAAACCGGATTAGCTTATTCTCTTGAGTTAGTTTGTAGACAGTATAAGATAAATCACAGATCATACAGGTAAGGCAAAAAACTCAATTTTATGGAGAATCATTTAACCCACACTTAAGATATCCAGTGAAAAGTAATTGTCCTTTTTGTGCTTTTCTCAAATCTCTTAGTTTTCTCCTGCAGAGGCAGCTATCATTCCTAGAGGTTTCCTTGTACTCGCCACAGACAGCCCAATGTGTCTGTGCAGATTTAACTCTTGGCCCTTTCTTGGCTCCTGGAGTAAGCCAGGAGCCAGAAGGACTAAGGGCAGCAGGAGGCTTTAAGTCTCCTGGTTCAGATCAGCTACAGCCTTCATTGTTGTGGTCTTGAACTTAGCTAGTAGTAACAGTATGAGAAATTGGACTTTGGTTTTCACAGTTCTTTACTCATATAAATTTCCCTATATACAGAAAAGGTAAAATAACATTACAATAGCTCCTACCTAGACCTACAAATTAACATTTTGCCACGGCCAAGCTCTGTCTCCCTTTCTCGCTGCCTTTTTTCCCTCCCTGCTCCTGTCGGGTTATGTCACTTGTACATCATTCAGTATTCATGTCCTAATAATAATGATATTCTTCTACATGGCCCCAATAATATAATCTCAAAAGTACTTCCAAAATACCCATCCTTCTTCAGATTTCCCCCACTGCACCCCAAAATGTCTCTTGCAGCTTTTTTTTCCTCTCAAATCAAGATCAAATATCAATTTTATGCCTTAAAGTATGTTTTGGATCTCTTTTAATCTTCATCACTCACCCCACATTTTTCATGTATATTTAAAATTGTGTTATAGTCTGTATACATGTGTGTGTTACTAGGAAGGGGTAATAGCCATGTTATACATTAGACTAAAATGATGAGGTTAGGTTACTATGACCAGGAATTGTAAACTGACCAGGGATTGGGATACTTGGCTGACCAGGGATCAGGAGTCTCAATCTAACCACAGTGGAGGCTGGAGATCAGTGTCTCGGTGCACTACATAACCTGCCCTCGGACACATCTTGGCATATTGGCTGAGGAGTCCTGAGTTAACACAAAGATTCAGCTATGTGTGACTTAATGATGAAAATGGCATCAGTAACCTAAGCAAGGTACAGATACATTTCTCTTTAAGGTTTACTTCATGAAGTCTTCAAGGCTGGTTGGTGTTCCATAATGCAAGGAATGAAGGTTGCAGTTCCAAAGTTTCTAGGTAGCCCCTGCATCCAGGTGGTCTATGATGCTTTTCACCAGTTACTAATTTTTGCCAGTGGGAAGAGGGGGAAGTCAGAGGTCAGCCAATCACTCCATCTGTGTTTCATGGGCCATAATTTAAGAGGCTGGGACATGTTAATTTCATTATTGGTGGCCTCACCAACTTGCTATTCTAGTGCCATAGCAGAGAAGGAGTATGGGGGGAAGTCATAAGCGGTTTAGATCTTGTCAATACTTTATTATCCATGAGGGGGCAGTTTCACATTCTCACATCACCCTCCCAAATAAGTTTCAGACAATTAACATACTGACCACATACACACACACACTTTCTCTCTCTCTCTCTCTCTCTCTCTCTCTCTCTCTCTCTCTCTCTCTCTCTCTCTCTCTCTCTCTCTCTCTCTCTTCACACACACACACAACACACACACACACACACACTCACTGACTCACGCACGCACGCACATGCACACGCTCCAACACTCCTGTGAGCTCCTTGGCGGTGCTGGGGTAAACCCAGGGCCTCACACATGCTAGGCAAATGCTCTACCACTGAGTCACTCCCTTCTGCTTCCTTTTAGACCTTACAAAATGATTGTAAGGACATAGAAAAGGACACAACCACCAGTTTCCTTACTTAGAAATGGTCTCAGTAATAAAGCCCACTTCACGGGGGCCATTGTGACGATCAAGTGGAGCAAGCCAAGCTCAGCATATCAGCTGACACATAATAAAAAGTGCATGATCAGTTTTAATCAGTGCGACTACTAGTTCATTGTTTTCATTTACTTATTTCCATTTTTTCTAATGCAGGTCCTCCACTCAAGCATGGGAACATGAGTTTTTTTTGCAGTACTCTCTATTAGGAGGCATTTGTAAACTTTTCTGTTTTGGTCCTTCTGTCAACAGCATCACAGCCACGGCTGCAAGCATTGGGGCAGCTGGGATTCCTCAGGCGGGTCTGGTCACCATGGTCATCGTGCTGACATCTGTGGGCCTGCCCACAGATGACATCACACTCATCATCGCAGTAGACTGGTTTCTGTGAGTATTCAGGGACTGTGTTGTGACTCACACGGCAGCTCCCACCCAAAGCTCATCCCCTTCTCGCCCCTCACCCCAATTCTAGAATAACAAACAGCCTAAATGGACTTGCAGAAGGACAGAGCAGAAGACACACCAGCTTGTAATTCAGACTTCCTCTTTACTTAGTCCCCAGTCCTTATCTAGAGTCCCAGACTAACATGTCATACAAGTCCCCTCCTCTCAGCCTGTAGGGCACATCTGGCTACTCTCCCTTCCACTCCATAAAGCCACTCAGAGTTGGGAAACCTACTGTCTGCAAAGCTGACATAAGTCAGCCAGGCTCTCTCATGGGTTGCACAACACACCCTCTCAGCAGCTGGAGCAGCAGACCCCACTTGCCCGCTCAGCTCCTCCTTGGGCTCCCCATTACAATGGGGTAATTCAGGGCAGATGTTTGTGTCTGAGACCCATAAGGTGAGAGATAGCTGTGCAGGCAGAGCTCATATCATCCAGCAGAACTGATCTGGCACGCTGAGGAAAATCCCAAGAAATGTACCCTCCACATCCTTAAACACCACCATGTAGGGCCTGTCTTCAAGCCTTCTTCCCTCACCCTTCCAGGGTTATTGTCTGTCCCTAGTCTCTCATAAATTCCTGTCTACTGGAAATTTTGTGTAAGGGGTGGCCAAAGAGAGTATCTAGGAGAACACATTGCATGCTGGTGTCCACATGGGACACTAGAGCTAGGAAGAGTCCAAGCATGTACACCAAGGCCAGGAGACATGGCATGAGTTCCTAGGTTACTTGGGTCATCACCTCAGGCCCCACGACAGTATCAGCCTACCTAGCCACGATAGTTTCTACCTCCCTAAAAGTGGAGATACCTGTGTCCTCTGCCTGCTATTGGCCTATAGGGATTAAATTCAATGACAGGTAAGAAAGAACTCAGTCCATGATCTGGTTCTGAGGCATCAATTGACACCAACACTTTGAGGCTAGGGCTGTAGTTAGGTTGGCAGAGTGTTTGCTTAATGTACATGAAGATCTGTGTTCATTCCCCATAACCAATAAACTGGGGTGGGGCAGAGGGGGGGATTGTGCAAACCTGTCATCTCATCGTGTGGTAAGTGAAGTCAAGAGGATCAAAAGTTAGGTGCTGTCCTCCAAGGCCACATGAGTTCAAAGGCAGTCTGGGCTAAATGGGAACCATGTCTCAACAAAAACAAAAGGGACTTTGGTAGACTACAAACTTCCACTTTCAAGACTTCTTTTATCTTTATGGGTAAAACTGATTGAAATGGGCAACATATTAAAGCTATATGGTTTACACCCACTACCATAGTATAAAAACTCACACATGTTTTCATTTCTTTTAAAAGTTAGAATAATAATTCCTTATGTGCTTATGTAAATAACATTTTTTTGTGGAAAGTGATCACTTCTAGACAAAAAGGTTAGGGGAAAGAATGGCACTATGTTACATTTTGTAAGTCCCTTAAATGTCCTGCTTAATATCAGACAGCTGAGACTGTCCTGACTGCCACTGCATCCAGGGTGCAATGAGGTTATACATCGCATCACCTATACAAAACTTACCACAAATTCCTGAGAGTATAAGAGTAAAGGGAACAAAGGAGACCATGGTAATACTATAAAAATGGTTTCTATCCCAGGACACCTCCCCGAGGAGCCACTGTACCGTGGTCTGAGAACTATTGGTACAATGGCAGGTGAAGGGAGGAAAGAGAAAATGTTAAATAAAAACAGAAAAGGGGACTGGAGAAATGGCTCATTTGATACTAGAGCTTGCTGTGTAAACATGAGGGCCTGAGTTCCATTCTCAGCTCGGTACCTGTTAAAAACAGCAGGGTACCATGGCACACACCTATAATTCCAGCACTTGCACTGGAAAGGCAGAGACAGGAGGATCTTTGGAAATGGCTGGCAAGCCAATCTCACTAAATCAGTGAGCTCCAGGTTCAACAAGAGTCCCTGTCGCAAAACATAAGGTGGAAAATAATTGAAAACCACACTATTGGCCTCCAAACGTGTGTATACAGGTGAGCTCACACACACACACACACACACACACACACACACACACACACACACACACACCAGGAAAAGGTTGTATGCAGGGAGAGGAGTTTCGTCAGCCCTCACTGTCCACCTTCTGTTTATAGCCAGACTAATCACTAAAAACTAATCACCTACTTGTCCTTTTTTTTAAAGATTTATTTATTATGTATACAATATTCTGGCATTCATGTCTACACACCAGAAGGTTGTGAGCAACCATGTGGTTACTGGGAATTGAACTCAGGACCTCTGGAAGAGCAGACAGCACTCTTAACCTCTGAGCCATCTCTCCAGCCTCTTGTCTTTATACCTTTTGACAGTGACTGTTGTAGGTGTGTGTCAAGTATGAAATCATTCCACTGGAGGGGTACACACTACAAAGAATAAAGAGATGCTTCTAAACCCTCCTCCAGCCAGTTCGCAATAGAAGCTGGGACATGGTGATATTCATGGAACCCTCTCTTTTCCTCCCTTCCTGCCCCACCCACCTGCAGGGACCGCCTCCGAACCACCACCAATGTGCTGGGTGACTCCCTGGGAGCAGGGATCATTGAGCACTTGTCGCGCCATGAACTGAAGAACCGAGATGTTGAAATGGGGAACTCCGTGATTGAGGAGAATGAAATGAAGAAGCCATATCAGCTGATTGCCCAGGACAATGAGCCTGAGAAAACCGTGGCTGATAGTGAAACCAAGATGTAGACTACACAGAAGTGCTTTTCTTGAGCACCAGGCTCCGGGAAGCCATTCTGCAATGTGTCCATCTCATTGAGCTCCCTCCCGCAGTGAGAGCCCCATCACTTTTCCTCCCTACTCTGTTAGGATTGGAAAATGTCCAAAAGCTGAGGAGGGCTTGGCAGCAACTGAAATATACAAGTTTCAGACCACATTTGAAATTTTTAACTCATCTCATATTATTCTTACCAAGTAAGTTACTGGAATCAAACATAGTTTTGATATTACACATTTAGATGGCAAACAATCATATGTGATTGTTTTATAAGCAAAAGCATTGAACAAATGTTAGGTTAAAAGTTTTTAAACCAATCTTCAAAGTTTAAAAATCCTTCAGAACACAATTGAGTCTTAGTCTTAAAAAGTAACAACTCAATGAGTAATTACCAGTTACCTTTGGGGTAGCAGAGATGTTGCCCCATTTCTTCTGACTTCTATCCTGACATTATCAGTACCAGGGCAATGTGCACATGTACACAGCACAGCTGTGAGGAGGAGCAGAAAGTGTGTTCTAGACAGAGACTCATCTCACCCCTTGGCCTCAGTGTTCTCATCCAGAGAATGAGTGACTCCTCTAGACACACGGCCTCTCTAGCAGAGATTGCTGTGACACCAAGAAGACCCTGCCTGCCCTGTATAACATGGAGATCTAAAAAGGACACTTAATGGAATGCACATTTCTCTCTAGGCACAGGCTTTGTGTGGCTCACTGGGTCCCGGGTCCAAAATGTTGGTTATATAGGTAGACATGTGGAAGGCCATTCCAGGAGTGGGGTTATTTGTGGGGGCCCCTTCGCCTGTTTGGGGGTGTTGTTTGTTTTGCTTACCTGTACTACAAGCACTCCCTTCTTGGGTATTCTTCCCAAACCCAAGGGATGGCTCTAAGAAAGCCTTCTACCACCCCTCAGCCGACAATTAGATGTTTAGGAAATAAACAGAAGACTAGCAACTAGCAAGTATGCTCATGGTCTTACTATGGAACACTAAAGAGCAGAGAAAGAATAGAGTATGGCCAACATTACAAAGGCAGGATTCTTTAATCCCAGCACGGGAGGCAGAGGCATGCAGTTGATCTCTGTAAGTTAGAAGCCAGGCTGGTCTACAGAGTAAGTTCCAGGACAACCAGGGCTACACAGAGAAACCCTGTCTCGAAAAATAAATAAGTAAAGATCAAGACTAGTTGGTCTTCTTTACAAACCAGTAAAAGGGAGAGCTACATCTCAGCCCTTTTTGTTAACCTGAACACAGTGTCTTTAGTTCCCAATTAGTCCAGAAAGAAATTACATATAATGCCACTTCTTTCATATTTTAGCGTCAAACAAGTGAGATTAGATTTCTGGGACAGATCCATGTGCTAGGTGGATGATCTCATCTCTGAAAATGTTGCTTTTGATTTTGGATTTTGTTTTGTTTTACAACTTAAACTGAAGTTCTTAGAAAGAAATAAGCAAGATACTTCTTTGTATAGAAATGCCACTTGGCGAATCATTCGAAATTCTCATCTAGAGTGGGGCTTGCTTTAGTTTTGTTTGTGGTCCTACAAAAAAAATGGTAGATGAATCAACTTGAAAATAACATCAATGAGGATGGAAGAAATTACAACAGGGGCATTACTTTCAGGCAAGGCAGCCCCCAGGTTTAAAGGAGATTAATTATTTTTACCCCCTTAGAATATTCAGTCAAAGATATTCAGTGGGAGCCATCAGATGGTACCAACTGCCTTAGTTTCTGACCAAAAATGTTGAATGGACATAATTACGCTAACACACTGAGTATCTAGAAATGGCATCTCCCAATCTACAATTAGAGATATTTCATAGATCTTGAGCATTTCATGCATGTAAAGGTTAACACTAGGCTATGGTGGAGTAATCATTTAATAATGGCAAGCTCTATTTTGGAAATACACTACAGAAGTTAATGTATGTGGCAGTCATTTTACAACACTAGCAGAATGAAACTTAATCATGTCAAATTAATACTCTTACCCAGTGTGAGGGTTTTTTGTTTGTTTGTTTTGTACTAACCATTTCTTATGAAAACAGGCCCTCTAAAGGTTATTCCTTTGCCAGTCTGTCAGAGGTTCTGCATATGCAGTGCGCCCACTGTGGACTGAAAAACATTACTTTGTAGATGTATTTTCAATAAAGAAAAATAGTTTTACATTAATGTATTTGCATAGTGTTGTTATTCTTTTCCCCATTTATGGACATACTGTAGTGAGCTCAAGACATGCTAGAGAAAGATGCCACTCTGAACAGTAAAATCTTAGCAGAATGGGGGGGAGGGCACAACGCCACCACCAGACGCGACTTAGCCTAGAGGCAGTGTGTAATGCCATTCTGTGGTTCAGCTCCTAAAACAGAAGGCAAAAGAGGAAGAGATGCCGGATGGATGGTGCGGTGACAACTTGTATTTAGTTGCTCAGGTCGGATTCCGATATCTGTGTTGGGAATCAGAAAAGCTAACGCTACCATGGGACTCTTTCAAACAGTGATTTCCTGTCTGACCTTCAAATTAAGTAGATTTATCTCTGTGATTATGGCTGCCATTTAGAAAAAGAGCAAAATTAGATCCCAAAAGGTGTTTCAAAAGCAGCCCTAGTTACTAATAACCAATTATGGAGAACTATTTTCCCTCCAGCTCCTTAATAAAGAATGGATGGACAGACAGTATCATAAATCCCTGGCCTGAAATTCTAGCCTTAGGTCCTTTAATCTCTCTGGCTACCAGCAGGGGGCAGTAGGCATTTTGGGAAAGCTTCAGCGGGATTACAGAGCTTCACTGCGTATTTGCATTTTTCTTAACTTTCATCAGCTTCTCTATAGGATATTAATTAGGATGGGAGTTTTTACAAACCACTGTATTTGAACCTTTTCCCAACGCATAGATGATGTTCACTTAGCGAGTTTGGGAGTAGGTAGGAGATTGCTCACAGCTAACAGAACGAAACCTGGTCACCCTAAAGACAGCGATTATCCGCAATCCTGTGAAATAATCTGGACGTTGGATTGCGTCCCAGGCGGTGCCACGGCAGATCAACCCACTGCTAGAAAGTACTCCCTCCTTAACCAGTTTCTCTTCAACGGCAGCCTAAGGTGGAGTCTGTGAAGCCCCACAGAGCCATCTTATGGATCTGGGCGAGCATGGTGAAACTGTGGAGGGGCAGAGGAACAGTCTAACCCGAATGAGAAGGAAACAGGTAGAGCCCCCCCCCCACGTGGGTGGTCGTAAATCTGCTCACAAACAGAACTATGAAAGAAAAAGAAAAACCCCGGCTAATATTTTTCACTGTTTCTAAGCAAATACATTTAACTTTTTTTTTTCTAGCATGTTTTTAAACTTCTAGTCCTTCCTAACGGGGGGGGGGGGGGCTGAGCACCGTTTTAGTGAATCTTAAGGGAGCTTGGAGGAAGGGTTTGTTTCCCCCTGGAGGGCAGCTTTATGGGCAAGACCCCGCTGGGGTCCGGAACACAGGGCCTCTTTCCGGGCAGCCCGCTAGGCACTTGACCCGAAGCTGCTGTCAGTCATCAGGCCTCTGCGTTAGTGGGCTGTGTCTCCTCTGCTCCCACCCGGGTGGTCCCAGATCTGGATCAACAATGCCTAGCTCTGTGTGGCCTCCTCTCCCAGCCAGGGCAGCTGAGAGGTGTCACGACTGGGGCACATTCTGAATGAATAAACCCACAAAAAAAGGAACGGAGCTGGAAGGGAACTGCGATTAGTGTCCTGAAGTGGGGAGTGAGGAGAAATCCGGGGAACATCCACTAGCTATCACGGAAGCACAGTCAGGACCACCACGGAGGAGGCTCTGGCCTGCTGCAGGAGAATTCACCTGAGTAAACGCCTAATTCTAAAATCTTCAGTAACAAGCGGGCTTAATCTGTAAACAGCCATCAAGTGCTGTAAAATTCCCGAAGGTCTCCATTTCTGCATTCCCTCTGCCACCCTACCTATGCAAAATCTCTCCAAGGGGCCCCATTGTCCTAGGCATCCTTGAATTTTCCTCTCTCACTGCCTTTCAGGTGGCCTCTCCACAAGTGGTTCTCAACCTGAGGATCGCGACCCTCTGATGGGTTCACCTAAGACCATCAGAAAACAGAGATATTTGCGTTACGGTTCGTAACACTAGCAAAATTACAGTCACGAAGCAGCAACGAAAATAATTCCGTGGTTGGTCACCACAGCATGAGGAAGTGTATTAAAGGGTTGAAGCTTAGGAATGTTGGGATCCATTGCTCTGCAGTCTAGAAGACTCTCATTCTCCCATACTTTCTCAGTCACACTTTCGCACTCTGAAGGCAGCATGGCAACACCTCCTGCCCATAGGCAGAAACGCCCTGCCCACAGAACTGCTACTCCAGGCTTGAGTTTTAGGACATTCACATTTCAGTAAATTCTATCCCTGCAAGTAGAGTTGTCAGATAAAATACAAGACACCCCATTAAACTTGAGCTTCAGGTAAGTAACAAAATTGCTTTAGTGTAAATATGAAATAAATAATACACTGAGTATGCAAAATAGGACACTGGATATTCTACATTATTTGATAACATGGGAAGTCTGCTTACAAGTGAAATGAAAACTAGAAAATAATTTCTGTGTGACTCGGTACAGCAGATATAATATGTGAAAGAGTCTGTGTGTTTTGGGGAGGTATCTTCATTATACCCATTTCAATTTTTAATTGCTCATAGAAAGGGAAAACATTCTTAAAAACTTCTACTTCTAGAATTCCGCACTGTTTATTTCTCTTGGCAACACTAACACTGATTATGTCCCTGTAACTCTTGTGGGCACCATTTAAAGGCCTGATGGATGGCCTCTGAGGCTCGGCACAACTGTCTTAAATAAGTTAAACGATGTTTGGTTTATCCGTGCGTGAAGTATCTGAAGGCTCACATTTGCTTCCCTCTCACTTTCTCCTTCCCTCCTCTCCCCCTACGCCCTCCCGACCCCAACTTAGAATATTTTCTTAAATCCACTAAAATACACAAATGTCATTAACAATGCTTTCAAGAGATGGGCACTTTTCTTTTTATTTAGGGGTGGCTTTTAGAAAAGTACCTGAGCATCTGCCATAGTGTCCTATTCAAACCTATTTTCCAGTGGCCATAAAGAGGGAAATGGGACGTTCTTTTCAAAATCTTTTCCAGACTCTGTGAATGGCAGTTACTCCACAAGAGCCCCTACATTAAGCCAGGCCTGATGGCCAGGACCAGCAGGGACCACCGGGGACTGCAGAAGAAACAATTACACTCTCCCCAGCGATGGCAGGTACATGGCCGCTTTCAAGAGGACAGTGAATCTACTGGGAAATGTCATCAGGTGGCAACTTAGGGCCCCTTTCTCTAACTCTGTAGGTTCAGGGGATCATAAAAATGTCCCGAATGTGCCCAGCCAGGAGCCTTGAGACATAGTCACTGGGAGAGAAAATAAGGAGCATTTAGGAATCAGTTCCGGTCAGTGTGAGCCGATCGGACGGCCTGTCTTGGGGAGATGGCGGCCAGCCAAGATTCTGTCAACCATACCCATCTGAAAACTGTCACCCACACCCACTGCATTGATACAGACAGGAGCAGCGGGGATCTAGGCTCCACCTGAGTCCGTGGTGGCCTGGAAGGAACTTAACCAGAAGGCGAAGACAGTAAACTGATGTTTTCTAGGAGGGAGGCTGTGAGGAGGAGTCCTGTCACCCCTGGAAACCAGCATCTCCAAAATTTGCCAGAGGTCTTCAGGAGGGGCCCAGGCACTGCACGGGCTGGGGGGGGGGGTAGACCAACAGTCCCTGCCAGGGTCTGCGAAGCTTTTGTCAGGCCTGGTTCTCTCAGCAGCCTGGCGCTGCATGGTGGTTTTGTGAAGCGCATAATTCGACACTCTGAAGAGACCACCCAGCTTCCTCTCCCAGAGTCTCCCAGAGAACAAAACTGTCCCTCTGTGTGCCGGTGACCTCTCCCTCCGACGGCCCCCTCCCACTGCCGTCCTGGCCTCACAGCCAAGTTGAAATGGAAAAGCCAGTCAAGTCTTCCCTTGGTGGGAACCAGAGGTTGCGACGCTAAAAGGGCCCACAGAGGAAGACCACTCTGAGCCTGGAATACTGCTGCCACCGCGTGGCAAGGGCCTCCCGGCCCAGAGCAGCCCACGCCTTAGGAAGCACTAAATGTTCTCCCATTGTGAATGGGCTCAAGGAGGGCTGTAGGTTGAGAAATAGCTCAGAAGTCTGAATAAAAACTGAACTTGAAGAAGTCTGTCTGCAGCGTGGTTCTCAAAGTGTAGGACGGGATAGATATTAAACATCCCTTGGGAACTTACTAGGAATGCTAGTTCTCAGGTGCCATCCTCCACCTGGAGTCAGACACTGGCAGGTGGAACCCAGCAGTCCGCCTTTTTTTATTTATTTTTTACATTTCAATCCCAGTTCCCCCTCCTTTCTCTCCTCCTGCTCCCCACACTTCCCCTCCACCCCACCCCCCACCTCTCTTCTGTTCCTCAGAGAGGTTAAAGTCTCCCCTAGGAAGTCTAAGTCTGTCCCATCATCTTGTTGAGGCAGGACCAAGGTACCTCCCCACTTCCCACACCCCTGTGTCTAGGCTGAGCAAGGTAACTCTCCATATAGAATGGGCTCCACTAAGTCAGTTTGCATTAGTGTTAGGTCTTAGGCTCAATATATTGTCCCAGCCGCACCATTGTCACCTCTATTAAGGGAGTCTACTTCAGTCTTATGCAGGTTCCCATTTGTCAAACCAGAGTCAGTGATCTCACTAGCCCAGGTCAGCTGATTCTGTGGGTTTTCTCACCATGGTCTTGACTCCTTTGTTCATATTATCACTCCTCCCTCACTTCAGTTGTACTCCAGGAGCTCTGTCCAATGATTAGTTGTGGATTTCTGCAGCTGCTTCCATCTGTTTCTGAAAGAGGGTTCTAACTTCTCTGGGGTTGTGGATTGTAGGCTGGGTATCCACTTATGAGTGAGTACATATTATAGTTGTCTTTCTGGGTCTGGGCTACCTCACTCAGGATTTTTTTTTCTAGTTCTGTCCATTTGCCTGCGAATTTTAGGATGTCATTGTTTCTTACCACTGTGTAGCACTCCATTGTGTAAATGTAACACTTTTTTTTATCCATTCTTCAGTTGAAGGACATCTAGGTTGTTTTCAAGGTCTGGCTATTAC